AGTCAAATGCCTTTGCGTAGTCAGTTAAACACTGGTAAGGTAAACATCTTTCTGGTATTCTCTGCTTTCAGCAAGGATCCATCTGACATCAGCAATGATATCCCTGATTCCACTTCCTCTTCTGAATCTGGCTTGAATTTCTGGCAGTTCCCTGTCAATTAACTGCTGCAACCGTTTTTTAATTATCCTCAACATAATTTTACTTGAATGTGATATTAATTGTATTGCTTGATAATTTCTGCATTCTGTTGGATCACTTTCCTTGGAATGTACCCAAATGTGGATCTCTTCTGGTAGGTTGGCCAGGTAGCTGCCTTCCAAATTTCTTGGCATAGACGAGTGAGCACGTCCAGTGTTACATCTGTTTGTTGAAACATCTCAACTAGATTCTCTCAATTCCTGGAGGCTTGTTTTTTGTCAATGCTGTCAGTGCAGCTTGGACTTATTCCTTCAGTACTATCAGTTCTTGATTATATGCTACCTCCTGAAATGGTTGAATGTTGAACAATTCTTTTTGGGATGGTGACTTTGCATATTCCTTCCATCTTTTTTTGATGCTTCCTGCGTCGTTCAAGATTTTGCCCATAATCCATTGCCATCGAGTCAATTCTGACTCATAGCGACCCTATAGGACACAGCAGAACTGCCCCATAGGGTTTCCAAGGAGTGGCTGGTAGATTCAAACTGCAGATGTTTTGGTTAGTAGCCTATCTCTTAACCACTGCACCACCAGGGCTCTACAGAATCCTTCAATATTGCAACTTGAGTTTGGAAGCTCTGCTGAATCCTGTCCACCACAGATGACGAGGCTGGTATTTGAAATACTGGAGGCATAGATTCCAGCATCACAGCAACATGCAAGCCATCACAGTACGACAAACTGACTGATGAGTGTTGGCAGTAATCTTTATAGATATACATACTGTATTTTCATGCAAATAATGCATACCTTCTATGTTTGTTTGCCAATTGCTTCCCCCCGTGAGGTTTTTTTTTTTTTTTTTAATCTGTAGGATTTTCTTTATTTATTTTTTTAATATTTTATTGTACTTCAGGTGAAGGCTTACAGAACAGATAGTTTCTCATGTAACAGTAACACACATGCTGTTTTATGACATTGGTTA